TTTGTACAGTACCAATTTACCATATACCCGTAATAATCATCTGTCATTTTATCATATTTGAGATACTAAATTAACTAAGCTAAATATAAATAATCAGATAAAAAGAAATAGCATAATTATAATCCATCACATGCATGTCTAACAAGTTCAATTTAATTTATTGGTACATTCCTTTTTAAAAGAGAGGGAATGATTTCTTATATGAGAAATTTTATCAAATTTTTTTTCAACCAAAAAAGATCCACCTAACTTTGCTCGTCTTTCATGTTTATTCAATTTTTTTTAGAATGTTTCAGAAAGTCAAATATTCTAAATATTTTTTTACTAGAAGAAATGGCAAAACGGAATTTAAACCACTAAATCAAATTGGTTTGACATTACCCAATAATATTGAAATTTTAAATTTAACAAATTGGATTCTTTATTTGACAAATATTAATAAATAAGCTGTGAATTATAATATAACCTTCCGTTCCTGGTTTTGCGTGACAGCGTCGCGCAGCTACCTTGTTTATTAAGTTATTCGAAATAAATAAAATGATTAATTTAGTTACATGAATTTTTAATGCTCGATATATTTGATACATGATGGAAACTTTTGGGTGAAGATCGTCTAATAAATACATCCCATCAGTTATAATTTTATCAAATTTGCAGATCATTTGACCAGATTTGAAATTGGTTTTTTTTAGATCTGATGATCTGCAAATTTGGCCAAAATTATAACTGATGGGTTTTCAGATATGATTATGTTTGTCACTTAATTAAATATTCGACGAAATAATTAAATAATTGATCAGCTATAGCCACGGCTAGCCGGCTATGAGTGGCTAGTCGGTAATAATTGACTGAGTGCATCCCTAGTGTTTTGCAACAAAGTTTTAAGGTTGCTTCATAAAGAATTCTTGCTGCCTTACAAAATTCTTTTCTTATTTTTTTAAAATTATCATTATTCACTCCATTTCCAAGATTTTTCTGCATTGAAAGGTTCGTATACACATAATTTCCAACTCTAATTTTTTCCCATTTATATAACTCAATTTCACAAATATTCGGGATTAATTTTACCAGTACAGTTATGGAGTATGAAATAAAAAGAGCATGGTTTACGAGTGGGGTGTCTCTTTTTTATCCGATTGATTGATCTAATCTCGTGACTTCATCTTGAGATCTCTATATTTATACTTTATGTGGCTTTTCGTCTATTAAAAAAAAAGCAAATTAGATGTTTGTTATCAAAGGATTATTCTAGATTATTATAATGTAAAATTTCTTTATGGCTTTTGACCCCGTGATACATGCATGAAATCATTCTTGTTTTTACCTGTTTTTGTTTGCTGTTCTAATTGTATTATGGTTATCGTTATTGATTTTTAAATCATATTGCTTCACTTGATTTGAATAAATCGGGCTTGTGGTTATATTAATTACACTGTTAAATATATAATTTCATGTATCAAGTTTTAACTATTCTTGAAATTAATTTAAACCAGGAATTTTTTAAATTTTCATATTTCATAAAATTTTACCTAACTAAATTCATCTATTTTAGCTATTGTTAAACCCGAGACACGTGATCCACAAGTTGCCGATTTCATCGTGGATCTTCGCCGTCCGACCTCAAGTCACGCCCCGGAGTATGAAGATCTCTTACCATACTTGGGATAACCGCTTATAATGATTATATTGATTATATTGCTTATATTGATTATAATTATTATAATCAATACAAGCATTATAATCATTATAATCATTATAATGATTATCGGCACCCTAAAAATAAATAGAGAATTAGTTATAAATAACATGTAGTTTCGCCCACATAATAAAGCGGATTCCCCTACTTGAAATAAGTCGTATGAAAGGTTCGTCTACGAGTGACTGTAGAGAACCATTGTTAAAGAATAAACCTAACCCGTGATAGTAGTAAATCCCACCCCGATTGTGCAGTAATTCCCGACGTAGTGAGGAATACTGCACTGTTAGAAGAATTAGAGTGATAGTCTCGACGTAGTGTAGACTATCCAGGATAAGCCAGACCCGAATCGAAATCACTCGCCAAATCTACACACCTCTTTCGACCGAAAGCCGTCCGAACGTTACACGAAGCTGACCTTCGATTAGCGACAGACTCGCCGAATTAGGACCTCTCACTATCCTAGTTCAATAATTCAAAGGTATCTAGTTTTAAAGCATATATTCAAGAATTAAACCATTTGTTACTTTACTAACCTGCTTACTGTTATTGAATGCTTGATTCTCTGTTTTTTATACTGTCAACATTGAAAGGGAATGCATTCGTTAATCATGATGAGTTTAATTCCAATAGTTGATTTATGAAAGATGCGGAAACTGATGATATATTAGGGAACTTGGATTTTATAGGAGTAGTAAGCATTTATTTTATACAAGAATCTAGGTTTATGTATTTTTTATTTAAACACGATTTCAGAAAGCATCCTTTCCTCCTGAATGCAGGGCAAAAGCAACATATGCTTTCTTACAGGTAACCTATTCTATCAAGTTTATAAATTCCAGTAGTTATGTCTACATGACCATTAAGAAGTTTATGCCCTCAGAAGGATTCACATAGATTAAGCCATTATGAATACATAAGAATGTTTAATACTAAAAAGGTATTATTACTATGATGATACATTTATGTAAGGTATGTGACAACTTAATTAACAAATGCAGAAGAAAAAACACAAAAAAATATTATTTGTTACAATACTTTTATTTAATCGTTAATCAGCATGTATTTTTTTATATACCTATTCTTTAAAGCTATGTACTGTTTCATGATAATTAGATTTAGATTAAATTGATTTTATATTTAATAATAAAATTTCATATTATTACCTTACCTTTTTAATGCACGCAGATGGCTTGGTGACATTTTCTGAAATTATATTGGTCTTTTTCATTAAATAAATTAAAACCTATTAAATAACTATGTAATAATATTTACCTAAATAAATGGCCACAATCTTATATGAACTATGTGATTTTGTGTATATTTCATTAATAATTTAAACTTCATATAGTTTACCATTAAATTAATACATATAAGTTAATAAGAAGCAAATATATTATTTTAAATACTTCTATTAAAAATTAAGCTTATACTCATCAATCATATAAATAATTTGCTAACTAAATTATAAAGTAATTAATACGGTATAAATAATTTATTTTAAATTACTTATTGTCAAATATTCATTGTAAAATGACAACAAAGAGAATAATTTATTAGGAAGAAACAATGTACAGTTGCCTCCGAAAGTTTGTCACGGTTACACAAAAAACATAAAAAAACATAACAAAAATTATGCAATAATGGTTATGGTTGTACGTAGTTATTAGCTATTGATGTTTAATTTGCTCTATATCGATCAAGTATGATCATTATGCATTAATTATTATATTAATTTGCGAAATATATTAATATCGTTGTTTTTTATGTTTTTCGTGTAACCGTGACAAACTTTGGAGGCAACTGTACATACAAGAATTCTACATCAAAACTATACTAATACTATTCCAACTAAGTCGCATTTAAAGTCCGCCTAGATAACATAATTAGTATTAGATTTACTGCACGTATAATCTAAATTATAGTTGCAAGTGAAACTGGTAAAAGTTAAAAATCCTAATAAAATAATATAATTAAATATAGGAGCAAAACAAAGAACTTATGACGAAAACAGTTTCATCTGCAACTCTATCTAAAATCCACCTTCCATTCCTGGCTTTGCGTGACAATGTCGCGCAGCTACTTATGTTTAAAATTACCTTACACAAGATGTACATGCGCAAGTATTTTTTAATTTTATTGTGCAATTTCTATAAAAGGACAACAATGCAATTTAAACGAACTTACACAAAAAATTTAATCTAACTATAAAAAAGATAAGATGAAAATAGTCCGAAAAGTTCCGAAAGAAAAATGAATGAACATAAATAGCATATCGAAAATGTGATCTCTTGAACTACGAATCAGATTTCAAGTTAGGTGTATTGTAACACGATCAGGAAGATTCGAAAACGAATATTCGTTATGCCAAACCATCTTTTGCGCTCTAATAAAAAGGTTTCGTTGAACAATTTACTATATAAATTATTCCCTTTTAGATCCTAACTTTGACCCTAACCTTACCGAATTAAGGATTTAGTCTTCGCCGCCAACCTTGTACACATTAAAATATGAGCAAGGTCGAGTTTAAATTTTGAGAAAATTCCGAAAAATTAACCAAAAATGTATATATTAATTTTATAACGTTAGTATTATTTAGATTTATATGTATTTGTGCATGTAAGTTTTGATCTAAATTTTAAACAGCTGATAACATACCATGAAAAATATATGTAACATTGATATGATATAAATGATAAAAATTATGAAATTGGTGCAATTTTATTACCTCAGTGTTATCATTTTGTCCTACTCGCGTGTACAATTAAATTGTTAGTCACTAAATACGTATTAAAATAGGAAGATATAAGAAATAAACGTTTTACCGTAAAAGTATAGTTACGATTAAAAAAAAGGCCGTAGTGTAAGCCGTGCAAATATTTACTGTGTTGATAAATAAATTCATTTATTACAAACAAATCTATGGTGGTTTCGCACTTGTTAAATATTTTTTTCGTGTTCGGAATTAGGGGTCTGGAAAGGGTTTTGGGGAAAAAGAATTTTACTTAAAGCACTGTATACTAATATTAATTAGCCAGTTTTAAAGATAGCAATATAGTTGGTAAAACACCACAGGTGCATTTTAAAAAGTAAATAAAAATTTTCAAGGTAAACATAGCAAAAAAATCCTTAAAATTCCGAGACTATCCAGTATATATATATATATATAATCCAAACTATTTAAACCGGGTTGAATCTCTTCTGAACTATTATTCTATAAAAAATATCAATGCCACCAATAACATTTAACTTAATATGCATTCCTCTGAATATCATTTCTCTTATTTCTTCTGTTACCTCATGCATGACATTTGGCTTCATACGAATATACTATCCTGAACTTGCTGATCGTGTTTCATTTCGTTTAAGCTTTGCTGCCCTATTCTGTGATATAGGTTATTCTGGTCACCTTTTAATTAATCTTGTTTGGGATTCTACTCACGGTTTTTTGTGTGGATATGTAGTAAGATATCATTTGCTTTCTTTCCGATATCGATAACTTCTTTTTTGAAATCCAATAGCTTCCTTTTGATTTTCTTGATTTTTTTTTCTCCATATATAAGGCTTGGGCAATCGTATTTTTTGCTCTTACTTCTATATTTTTTATCGATTGTATAGCTTTGGTATGTATTATAATTATGTTTTACTGAATTCTTTGTACGTATTTATTTTCATTTGCTTATTCTTTTTTTTCTTGTTATTTTAGAACCTTCATATAATATTCATAAATGAATATAAAAGACGTAATTTTGAAAAATATTATTTTATAATTGCAATTTCTATTGCTCTTTTACTCTCTCTTCTTCCTGCTGCCGCTGATATGTATGGTCATGATGCTTCGGTTGGGTATGTACAGTATATTCCATTATGTAAATAAATATGCATATATACGTACGTACAGTACGTATATATTGATATATTCATTTGGCACGGGAATGGGCATTACGTATATCACATTACTAGTATATATGTTGCATCTAAAGTAGCGATTTATCTAAGGTAGTGGCTAGCTAAAATTAAGCCACTAGACTTAGACTTTGCATTTTGTTATGATTTTAGCTACTTTAGATATATAAAGTAGCTACTTTAGATAAATCTCTACTTCAGATGAGACATATACATGACTATAAAATTTTTTGGTTATGTCCAGCACTTTATGCTCAACATTTTTTTATGCCCATACTCTTAATTAGTGATGGACAATTGCATAGTGTGCAACATTTGCAATTAATTCTGGCCAGAATTAAGAAATTAAATCGTAATTTTTGATAAAATATGCATGCATGCGCTAAAATTTTATATTTTACCCATCTCTACTCTCAATGGTTTCTGCATGCTTTGGCCTGATATATTTTTACTTCATATATTCATATTTATCTATCTTTTTTTTTTATTAAATCTATTTCAGTGGTTGTTGGTATCGTTTTTCTGGTCAAGAAAGTAATATAATATGGGAATGGATTACTTTTTTCGGTTGGATAGATGCATCTATATTGTATTGTGCGATTGTTATTATTATGGTTGTTAGAAAACTCAAATTTGTGGCAAAACAAACCGATGTCGCTGACTTTTCATTGGCTTCTCAGTTATCTAGTCATCCCTCCTTAATTAATAAGACTGTGATTTTATCTGTTGTTAGAAGAGTCGTGTGGTATCCTGTGGTGCCGGTAGCTCAGATTTTTTGCTCCTTTTTTGAAACTTGCAAATATGTTAATCATACGGTCCCTGGTCCAATAATGATAAGTTGCTTTATTGGTATGTCACTTCAAGGTATGTATATGTTTTTTTTTTTTTATTATTATTATTTGAGCATTCTTTGATTATTGGTTTATCTATTGTGCCCTAGGATTACTGAATGCTTTAGTATTTTCACAAGATATTGCAGTTACACGTGCTTTTCAGGCCGTCAAACTACAATGGTGGATCACCAACGTTAACTCTTACGAGTCTCATTATCCTCATCGATCTCACAACAAAGCCATTACAGATAATTTCAGTGCATTAGGAAAATCCAATGATTTTGTTAAATTGAAAGCTCTGAATTGTAATCATGCTGAAATCATTAAAAATAATATTATTAACGACGATAACAGTATTATCAATGGCGATAATAATAGCAATTTTATTAATAAAAATAATAATAATATTGATAATAAAGCTAATAACAATAATAGCATAGTTTCACAACCTTCTTTCATAGAATGGCTAAGATACATGCTATTAATTAAACTTTTCTCTCCTCCAAAAAGTTCGATTAATTCTCTTGGAAGGAACGATTCAAAGCAGGATATAAGTCTTGATAATCAAGATGATGGTCAAGATATTAATTTAATTCTTCTTAAACCTGTTCATTTAAGAGATTCTTTTCAAATTTCATCTGATCCCTTAACAGATAGTTCTAAAAACTATCAAACTAATCAGACCAATATAAATAATACAAACGTAGTAGAAAACTATGAGGTTGACGGTGATGAAGGACGAATTAACATTATAAATATCAATAACAAACCAACAAAAAGGGTATCTGAAGAATTTGAAATAATGTTTAAAAGACTTTAAAAATTTTTCTATCAATTTCTTTCAACTTATTGTAAAAAAAATTTCTTTATTCATTTTGTGAATTTGCGATTAATATTATTGTCGCAGTAGATTTCAGCACTTCATGCAATCATAGTACTGTGGTTGAGTAAATCGCAATTGTGATGAATAAGTCTATGGTATGATTTTCATATATGTATAACTAGTGTAATGGTTGTGTAGTTGCGAAAGACGAAATTTGCCCTTTCTCCAATTTACAATGTACCCAACGTAGTATAGCCTCAATTTATTTTATTTTTATTATTTATATTATTTTTATTATTTATATTATTTATATTATTTATTTTATGAAATCAGTGAATTAAAAGGATAGTATCAGATAAATAAGATAAAAGGATTCAAAAGAATAGATAGAATAAAATAGTATCGATTTCATTATATGTAATTGAAAAGTATATAAGGCCAAGTCTTACCTTCAATAAAGCAGAACTCGTTAGAGTTCAAACATATATAAGTATTTTGAAAAATGCCAACGTTGCCAATAATTGAGGTGAGTTACTTGACCTTCTGATTTTTATGTATTATGATTAGAAACGGGCAAATCGCAATTTCTCCAAAAATTTTGCTGATCACGCGCGGGATTCATTAAATAATAAAAAATTCGCGATTGATCCTCGATTTGATTGCATTATACATATTATTTTCGCTCAGATTACCATTGCAAACTATACCATATTCAATATCAAATTTCTCAATTCAATTAATGCAAAGATACAATATGTAGAAA